AGGAATTGGAGCGTGATCCATTCATTTGATTCTACATTGATTCGTAAGAACTCACTCGCTCGGGACCGGCCAGTTGCTAATTTCGAAGCTCGAAACTGTTGCCTGTTTCGAGGCAATATGTATTATGTACATGTTCCATTCGCGAACTTTTACGAGTATTAAAAACTTTTACTAGTATTAAAAAGGGAAAGCATGTTATGTTCTGTCCTCGTTTAAAGAATAACATCGCTGCTCGATCGATTACTTTATAGTTTACCGCTACCGTCGGCGCGCTCGGGAACAAAGACAAGCCGAATAGCATGCCAACCTGGAAATAAGCAACTGGCCGGTCCTAAGCGTGTTGCTTGTTTCGAGACAATACTGTACTATGTGCTATTACGAAGGTGGAATGCACGGTCAACCTGTTGAAGTTAACCTTTTAACTGTCATGCCCGAGATAATCTCGAGCACAGCACTGGTGTTCGAAAATGTCACGCCCGAGTATCACTCGGGGTAATTTTTTTTTGAGTGCATCGTATTGTTATACCCGAATATATATCGGGAGACGTTTATTTCGGCTTCATCTCTTTGTCAAACCCGACTGTATCTCAGGAAAAGTTAATGTGCGCTCAATTCAATAGATGGCAGCACTGAAGATTTCTAAGGTTAGTGTTAGAAGTTCTTCCCTTCAAAATGCGCGGGACCTTTTGGTTGCAAAATGGCGTCCCGTTCCTTGAAACGTCATATAGATGATTTAGATTCTTCAACCGAAGATGAAGATTTTGAAGGCATTGATACTAGTGACGCAGGTGAAACTGAGGAGAGTGACATTGAAAATAGCAGTGCATCAATGGATAGCGGTGATGATGATATAGGAAATGCGCGAGACTGGTGTGAAATAACTGCTTCTGGCCGATCAGGTCCCCCTAGGTTCCCTTTCACAGGTACTCCAGGTGTAACTTTTCCTGTAAACATAAACTACACTCCTTTAGATATTTTAGAAATGTTTCTGGATTCAAATCTAATGGATATAATTGTCAAAGAAACAAACAACTATGCAGAACAAGAAAGAAAAGCAAATCGGGCAAAGTTATCAAGGTGCTCCCGCAGTAAAAAATGGATCCCTACAAATGTCAGAGAAATGAAGCTATTCTTTGGGCTAATAATTCTTCAAGGTATTGTCCGAAAACCAAATCAGGCTATGTACTGGTCTCATCGAAGGATTTTGCATACTCCAGTTTACTAAAAAGTAATGCCCGTAAATCGTTTTATTTTGCTTTTTCGATATTTACATTTTTGCAATAATGAAGCTGAAAAAAAAGATAATTTTCCAAATCAAAAACTTTGGAAGCCGTATAATGTGATAGAAAATTTACGGGAAAAATTTTGTAATTTTTACATACCGGAAAGAGATGTATCGGTTGATGAAAGCTTGATGCCTTATAAAGTAAGGTTATCTTGGAAAAAATATATTCCTATCAAACGTGCACGATTTGGAATCAAATTTTTTATGCTTTGTGAGGCGGAAATAGGATATATTTGTGACTTCATTATCTATACAGGAAATAGTACTGTCTTCAATCAATTGTATACAAATTATGGATTTTCTACAAAAGTCGTCATGAATCTATTGCATCGCTTTCTTGGAAATGGTTATTGTGTGACTGTAGATAACTATTACATGTCGCCCGAGCTTGCAGATTTACTTATAGCCCAAAAAACAGATATTTATGGCACAGTAAGAATAAACAGACGAGATTTACCTACAGAATTCGCTAAAAGAAAATTACAAAAAGGTCAAATCGTAGCTTTTCAAAGAGGTAAGATTTTGGCTATAAGGTGGAAAGATAAGAAGGACGTGTGTTTGATGAGCAGTATTCATGATACTTCCATGGTCAGCTTCAAAAATAAAAAAAATGAAGATATACTCAAGCCAAAGATTGTTTCTGACTACAATCTAACTATGGGTGGTGTAGATCGCTGTGATCAGGAAATATCCTTTCATCCAACAATCCGAAAACGTCAGAAAAAATATTATAAAAAGATATTTTTACATTTACTAGACAAGGTATTCTAGAACTCGTTTTTGCTCTATAAAAATGTAGTTGGGAAACATATTACATTTTTAGAATTTCGAATCCAAGTTGTAGAAGAGCTTTTACATAAATATGATGATGCAGCTTCTGGACAAAAGAATGCTGGCAGACCACCTACAATAGATAATCCTGCCCGTCTTACTGAACGACATTTTATACCCCATATTCCTCCTACTCCTGCGAAACGTGAGCCTACAAGACAGTGCAAAGTGTGTTGTTCGAAAAAGGATAAAGATGGGAAAAAGATAAGGAAGGAAACACGATTCTGGTGTAGTGATTGTGGAGTTGGTTTGTGCTTGGAAAAGTGTTTCCAGTTGCACTACACGAGACTGAATTACTGAACTACTAATAGGTATTTACTTTTATTTATTTATTTTTTTTCAGTTATCTATTTTTTAGAAAATAATTAATTTTTTTTCATTTTTAGAAAATAATGCTCCACTAGAAGCGAACTTCACAACTCCCATGTTGAGTGGCAGTCGCCCCAAGCAAATATGCAGTGGCTACAAAACTTCAAAAATTTTACCCATGTACTTCAAAATATCAATTTTTAACTACTAAGTATATTTTATTTTGTAATAAACATTTCATTTTTGCAATAAAAAAATTTGACAATATGTGTACCCAAATCATTAAAATAACTTGACAGTTAAAAGGTTAAAGAAATGAATATCAATTAAACCGCCGTTGATGGCACTATATTCACTAGTGGCAGATACGCCCAGTTGGAAGAATTTCTCACTGCAATGAGCATACAATGAATGTCGAAGAGTTAATATGTAAAGCATCACGATAAAATCGTGAATTCGTTGATTACCGCTGCAGAAAAAGAAATGATAGCGGCTGAAGAAGAAAAACGATTAGCTATCGAAAGAGAAGATATTCTTCAAGGTTCTGGAATCCTGCACATTCCCGTCGTTCTCGACGGGAGCTGGATAAAAAGATTGTACCGCACCGGTACATATAACTGCGTCGGGAGTTGGCGTAATAATTGGATACCGCAACAGAAAAATTTTATTCATCGGAGTGCGGAAGAAAATATGCAAAATTTCTGATTTTGCTACAAGAAGGAAAGAATAACCCCGAAAACACATATGTTTCAAAAACTGGACAAAGAATCGAGCGTCCACCGCTATGGAAGGCGATACTAAAGTGGAAGGCTTCAAAACCAGCGTGCAAACGCAGAGATTGATTTATTTCACGCTAATCACTGACGGAAACAGCAGTGTATATAAAAAAAAATTATCGACGCACATCCGTACAAAACAGAAATTCGTGTGAACAAAATTGAATGCACGAATCATTTATTACGGAATTTCTGCAGAAAAATGAGAGAAATTGCAAAAAAAACAACAACAGGAAGTATGAGGAAAGCTGTTGAAAGTAGCATTCGGTGGATACGGACGGCGATAGTAAAAGCCGCGCAATATAGATGAAGAAAATGTATCGGCCGCCGAAAAAATTAAAAATTTATACGGCGATATATATAACATGTCTAGCCATGCCTTGGGCGAACATGCGGAGTGCAGTAAAATAAAATACTTCTGCGACAGGGAAAACAAAGAGAACGAAAGAAATATCCGTCCCACAATTAAAGAATATGGGAATATATCAGCAAATTAACGATATACTTTGGCCATTAGTAGCTCATGCAAAGAGCTTATTATACAGCTGTAACAATAATAGTCGCCAAATACATTGCTGGAAAAAGACTGAGTCTTGGGGAAACATGTTCGTACACGGCAAGATATGTTGCTGCCGTGTTACAATACGACTCCAAAGAAGCGCTATGCCTGTTGAATAGAGCGCAATTGTATGTATTACGTCATTCACGGGGTTCAAGCTCTCATAAGTTAGATCACTCTAACTTCCATTCCTAAATCTCAACTCTATTCCAATGCTTACCTTGTTTTTCACGTTTAACTATTAACATATTGTACGCCGGCCCCGCGAAAACGCAGGATTCAAAGTCTATCGCTTGAGCGCCGGCCCCGCGAAAACGCGGGTTTCGAGCTCTGTCGTTTCAGCGCCGGCTCTGCGATAATGCAACATTGTTTTGTTTGGTGATTTGTTTGCTGTCGTCAGGATTACGCCGATCTGCATTTTTTATTACGTCGAAACAAAATGTATACGATGGTTCAGGAACAAGTACAAACAACAGTCACTCTTGAGCATCGTATTCCGTAGCCAGTACATCTTTCATACCCTTACGTTTTTAGTTGAACAACATAATAAGCCTTCTTATTCTGTGCATTTTTACCGCTCTAATATGAGTGAATTTACTGACTATATTGCTGATCCTCTATTAGATTATTCAATACAATCAGAAGATTCTGATATAGAGGTCGAGGACAGTGATAGTGATGTGATGCCAAGAAGAAGATCGACAGCTGTTCCATTACAGTATTCCAGTGATTCCGATGGTCTGAGTGATAATGAAATGTTTACAGAATCACATAGTTATATTGAATCATGGTCAAATGTTGATAAAGTTCCTAATGTACCAGATTTTATTGCGCAATCTGGTCCAAAAGTTCTTCCTGCTAATAAGCAAAGCATAAAAGAAATTGTGGAAATGTTTATTGGCAATGATTTATTTCAATTGATGGTAAATGAATCAAACATCTATTATCACCAGAATAAGGACAAGATGTGTAAGGGTAAAAAATGCCTAAGTGGAATGATGTTTCTCTAGCCGACATGAAGAAATTTCTTGGTTTGATTATATTGATGGGCCAAGTAAAGAAAGATAGAAAAGATGATTACTGGTCCTCAGAGTTTTATACCAAAACACCATCGTTCTCCACGGTTATGTCGCGTAACAGATTTCGCCAGATTTGGGACACATGGCATTTTTCGAATAATTTTACAACAGCTGGTTCTAATAAGTTCGAGAAGATTCAACCGATACTAAGTTATTTATTAGATAAATTTAAATCAGTATACACTCCCAAAAAAGAGCTTTCGCTTGACGAATCCATTATTCCGTGGCATGGAAAATTGTCCATAAAAACGTACAATCCAGCAAAGATAGTAAAGTATGGCCTGCTTTGTCGTATGTTATGTGAAGCCAGAAGTGGATATATTTGCAACCTGGAAATATACTGTGCGGACGGCAGAAAACTGGACCAAACTATAATGTCGTTGCTCGATAAAAATATAGGTTTGGGATATCATGTATACATGGATAATTACTATAACAGTATTCGTACCGCAGAATTGCTTCTGAAAAATGGCACACGAGTTTGCGGTACAATTAGAGCGAATAGAGGTGTTCCAGAATCTATGAAGCATATCAGTTTAAAAACTGGAGATTATACATTTAAAAGAAAAAATGAAATTTTAGTACAGGCATGGAAGCCAAAACGCAAAGTCGTATACATGGTTTCTACAATACATTCGGGAGAACTAACAAACACAAAAAAAGTACATTGGAAAACAAAACAAGAAATTATAAAACCTCAATCGGTCATAGATTATAACAAATATATGATAGGCGTAGATTTGGCCGATCAGTTTTTATCATATTTTTCCATTATGAGGAAAACCGTAAAATGGACAAAAAAAAACAGTTTTATTTCTTTCAAACTGCGCGTTGTTCAATGCATATAGATTATATGTTGAGTTCAATGGTAACACTATGAAATATCAGAAATTTTTACATGCTGTTGCACTTTTGTGGATCGAGGAATATACAAATACTCAAGATGTACCGAATGTTTGTGGCGAACAACCTTCTGTATTAGTTCCTACACCTCGCACGCCAAAATATGATCACCCTGAGAGACTATCGGGTGATATGAAGAAGCACAACGTTACTCGAATTATTGGATCCGGGAACAAAAACAGATATGTACGTTGTCCATGCAAAGTTTGCTCTGCTAGCAAAAAAAGAAGTGAGAGTAGCTTTATGTGTTCTCTTTGCCAAGTACCTTTACATCTTGGAAAGTGTTTCGAAAAATACCATACATCCATTAAATACTAATATTTTTCTTTGAGTTTATATTATATATATGTAATAATCAATCATCAAATAAAACAGGTGTATTTTTTTATAATAAATTAAATTTTTTTTATTTTGCTTCTATTTTTCGTTATCCTTAAATTGCATATAATGAATATGCAAACCAAATTTAGTATTTTACGATAATGTATAAAAATTTTACATATTTTCTTCACATATTCATTAGCCATCAACAAGCGAATCATGCCGGCGCCCAAGCTTTAGACGGTTGACACGGTGCCGGCGCTCAGACTTTGAATGTCTCAGATGCCACCGGCGTACAATATGTTAAGTATTTGTAATCCTCGTCGTATTAACTTTGTTTATTTTATTATCGAGGTTATATTATTATTTTATTTTATTTTATTAAATCATTTATTGTTATTGGAGACACCTCTTCTATTCATACAATCCCAAACGAGTCTTATATTAGAATATCATCCCGTTCGGAGATGCGAGACATAGCCACAAGGAGTCATGTAATGCGCGCTTGACAATTGTTGCATTTTTTGACTTATGGGAAGGAAGCGACGAGGTGGACAACGTTATCAACTCCTTAAACTATTAAGATCCTTTTATCTCCCAAATCCCAAGCCAGTCGCACCATCTACTACTCAAACATTAAAGTGGAAATTAGTATCTGTCGATCTGCCAGATCAGAAAGTGGAAAGCATTAAACGTAACCTGCGTACGATGGAACATCTGGGATTCCCTGGCAGATGACGGACATACGTGCCGCATAGCCAAAAAAGGATTGTAAACTCGACGTCTACTCCAGTGAGTTCATCTCTTTTTGACGTGAACGAATATCCGGGACGTAACATATACAATACGGAAGAAAAGAGAACGTGCAAACAAAATAACAAATGAAAAACGTCAAAAAAATATTGCGACGTGGGTACAGAAAAAATTGCGCTCTGGAAAAGATTTTGACTATGGAGCAAACGCTGCACAAACAGATATGAATTAAAATATTTATAAATTGGAAGAGAAAAAATATTTGAAAATGCTCCGTACGTGGCAAGAAAGAAAAAATGGTATTGAAAAGGAAACAATTGGACAAACTAAAAATCAACGCTGGTACACCTATAAATCAAAACTTTCGACAACGTCCAATTCTGGAAGCGTGTGCCGTCGCAGAAGTGACACATTATGTGCAAACTTGGTACGAAGAATAATATATCCGAAGATCATTAGTGTACCTGCAGTTAAATACGGGCAAGAATGTGAAGATACTGCCCACCAAGAACTGCAAAAATGTACAGGTACAGAAATCAAAGAATGTGGAATTTTTATCGATAGTTGCCATCCATTCTTGAGAGCATCACTGGATGATGGTATCGATGTGG